AAGAGTTACCATGTTGTCTGCGGTAAGCCTAGAAGGCGAGCAGTAATGCTCAAAGTTGTGCCGAAGAATATTCGGCACAACTTTGAGCCTTAACTCGCTGCGTTACATTGTCATATAACGCAGCTAGTAGCCTGACGGAATAGGTTGTGTTTTACCAATGATGCGATGAAACTTGTAAAGCTAGGCTGACTTACAGAAGCTGAAGACTGGAGATGTTTGCTCAGGAGCGAATCGAAGAATTTCTTGAAGACGATGACAAAACCTTTAAAATTTCTAAGTTTTCCTGTTTATATCACGTAAGGATCACCAATTTGGCCGTAGAAGGCAATTTTCATATATTTGAGGCATGCTATTTTGTTCCATGTGTTTCGTAAGGTTGACTCCGGGAAATGCCATAATTTCATGGCTTCCGATAGATGGCGATATAACGTACGCGGACTCGTTACTACTGACACAGCCAATCCACCTGCCAAGCGTGGCCATTATGGCAAACCTTGCCTACCGGGTGACACCATGAATCAAATACAAAGAGGAGACGGCATAAGCAACTGTGCACTGTGATTCTAAGTAGGTCATCATAGTGGGCGTGGTTTTAGTAAGTATACTGTCAGCATTCATCCTGTGCGCTTATGGGTTGAAAATCGCAAATCGGTGTATTTTCGTAGTATTAAGAAGAAAAGGATGAAGTGTTGTGTTTTATCGTGTAAAAACTACTCAGATAGGCTCTCTGATGCTATGGATGGCATCACATTTAATTTATAAGCAATTTTACACCAAATTTATTAAAATAGTTCTAGAAAAATCTCTTTGCGTCGGCTTTCAAATATAATTAAATATATTCGACACTAGATGGCGACACTTTGTGTCATGTGAACTAACCATGAAGCTAATACAAAGGGGAGACGGCATAAGCAACTGTGCACTGTGATTCTAAGTGGGTCCTGACGTCATCATAGTGGGCGTGGCTTTAGTTAGTATACTGACAGCATTCGTCCTGTGCGCTTATGTGTTGAAAAAATCGCAAATCGGTGTATTTTCGTAGTATTAAGAAGAAAAGGATGAAGTGTTGTGTTTTATTGTGTAAAAACTACTCAGATAGACGCTCTGATGTTATGGATGGCATCACATTTCATTTGTAAATATTTTTCCACCTAATTTATTAAAATAGTTCTAGAAAAATCTCTTTGCGTCGGCTTTCAAATATAATTAAATATATTCGACACTAGATGGCGACACTTTGCGTCATGTGAACTAAAAATGTAAAGGTAGAGCTCAGTATTGGTAAAATAATCATACGAAGGTGCTGAAATTTGTTTTGCATTCAGACATAAAGAAATTTTAATCGCAAAATATCATTTTTATAGTTTATAATCATTTTGAGAACAGGCCGTATTCTTGTCAAGTAAACCTCATAAAAATGACAAAAAGACAGGGCCCTAATTATAATTCAATTATTTTTCCCAGTAATCCTACTTTTAATATTAAATGCAGGAAATTGTACTTATGCTGATTTTTACGAAATGTTTAAGTTATATTTAAGTGACATTCTATATGCAAAGAATCACTTAAATATAATTTAATGTTCTTAGATTGGCATTCAAAAAGTGCATTCGGATGTCTAATTTGGAATAAAATATTTATATTTTAATTGATTTGTAAATAAAATTATATTAATTATAATAATTTGTCTATTATTTGTTCTTCCTCAGAGATATTAAGTACTATAACCCACACATAAATAATAGTCCAGCCGTTTCTGCGTGAAAAAATTACACATACTTAGTGTGGAATAAGCTCAAGCAGACAGAAAGAACACACAAAATTTCGCCTTTATAATATTAGTGAGATAAGTAGGATATTTAGTTTCAAATTAAATATCCTACTTAATATTGAACATAGAATATTTAGTTTCAGAGACTATTTTATGGATAAAATAAATATTTCTTGGTCGACTTTCACGAAATGATGCTTATCTTCACGCACAATCCCTGACGGGGTAGCCAGAGAGAACAGATCGCCAAGTGTCACGATCCTTACAAACCTCTTTCGCTTCTTTCAGATTCATTATCTTCTTCATGCATGCACGTCTAGGTATCCGAGTACTTTTGACCCTACCCTCTTCGAGCAATTTGCTCACATGGTCTTCGAAAGTTAGTCTCGGTCTACCTCGACACCTTTTAATATTAACTTTCGCGCTATATATTTTCTTCACCATTCGGTCTTCACTCATTCGCTCAACGTGCCCAAACCACCGAAGCACGCCCTTATCAATTTTTGTGATAAGGTCATCTTTCAAACCTGCCATATTGCGAATCTCTTCGTTTCGCTTTCGGTCGGCCATGGTAACGCCGCACATTTTACGAAGAGATCGCATCTCCACTGCATTCAACTTACTTTTATGCTTCTTCTGGCATACCCAGGTTTCGCTGCCATATAACAAAGTCGGTACCAACACTGCGTTATGTATTGCAAGGCGTGCACTCTTCGCTACGCCTTGCCTTTTGACTAACGCAGTCAGGGCACCATTGACTTTGTTCCCGGCAGCGACACGCCTGTCCACATCTAAATCACATCTTCCATCCCGGCTAAAAGCACTCCCCAAGTATACAATTTCATTTACCTGTTCTAGACATTCCTGATTTACCCATATTTCACACTTCGTTCTCTCTTCGTCCCTTTCAAATACCAGAACCTTAGTTTTATTAGCATTCAAACGGAGACCTTTAATTTCACATTCCTCTTTCATACACGTGACTAATGCCTGCAGTTCTGCCTCTGATGGTGCAATAAGCACTGCATCATCAGCATACAGCAGACAATTTACTTTAATGTCACCCAATTTCACACCCAAACAACTATCTTTCAGCTTCTGTAAACAGCTGTCGAGATACAGTATGAACAGCCAGGAAGACATGACACAACCCTGCTTTACGCCCGTTTGGACGTTAAACATGGGTGACAGGTCATGCCCTACCCGCACACAGGCTTTACAGTCACAGTAAAGAGACTGCACAGCCCTTAGCAATCGACCATCCACACCATACCCCGGCAACAGTTCCCACATTTTCTTCCTTACAACCTTATCAAATGCTTTCTCAAGATCCACAAAAGCACAGAAAATCTTCTGGTTAGCAGCCAGAAGCTTCTCCGTGATCATGCGGAGAGAAAACATTTGATCCGTGCATCCTCTTCCAGGTCTAAATCCGCATTGTGCCTCCCATAGAAATCTTTCCGATTTCTCTTGCATCCTACGTGTCAAAACCTTCGAGTAAACTTTACTTGCTAAACTGGTCAAGCTGATCGCCCGATAGCACCCGCAGTCAAAATGTGAACCTTTACCTTTATATAAAGGCACAATGACTGCGGATCGCCAATCATCCGGGACATCCCCCGTCCGCCAGCACAAATTGCACAGCAGATGAAAGCTGTCCCAGACGCGAGGCCCACCATAAAATAAATGATAAACATATTTAAATTGTATTTAAGTGATTCTTTGCATATAGAATGTCACTTTTCGTAAAAATCAGCCATGTACAATTTCCTTCATTTTAATATTGAATGTTGGGTTACTGGGTAAAATAATTGAATTCTAATTGCGGCCCTGTCTTTTTGTTATTTTTTATGAGGTTTACTTGACGATAGATGGCGGCCTGTTCCCAAGATTATTATGAAAACTATGAAAATATTATTTTGGCGATTAAAATTTCTTTGTCTGAATGTATTTGCTTCATGAGATAGACGCTCCGATGCTATGGATGGCATCACATTTCATTTGTAAGTAATTTTACACCTAATTTATTAAAATAGTTCTAGAAAAATCTCTGCGTCGGCTTTCAAATATATTCCACACTAGATGGCGACACTTTGTGTCCTGTGAACTAAAAATATAAAGGTACGTAGAGCTCAGTAATGATAAAATAATCATACGAAGGTGCTGAAATTTCTTTGCATTCAGACATAATGAAATTTTAATCGCCAGTGTTATTTTTAAAGTTTATAACATTTTGTGGACATGCCGCCATCTACCGTCAAGGTAGCTAAGCTACATTGCAACTTCGATATGGAAAGATTCGAGTAGTTTTACTATTTATCGGTAGATGTAGATAGTGTAGTGGGCGGGGCTTTGCATCCCCTCACCCCGCAAATTGTCACGCGTTGTTACATAGTGAAATTTAATTACAACGTCTCCTCTTTGTATTTGCTTCATGGAACTAACAATATAAAGGTACGTAGAGCTCAGTATTGGTAAAATAATCATACAAATGTGCTGAAATTTGTTTTGCATACAGACATAAAGAAATTTTAATGGCCAAAATATTATTTTTATAGTTTTTATAATCATTTTGTAAACAGGCCGCCATCTATCAAGGTAGCTAAACTACATTGCAACATCGATATGGAACGATTCGAGTAGCTTTACTATTTATCGGTAGATGTAGATAGTGTAGAGTGGGCGGGGGTAACATCCCCTCACCCCGCAAATTGTCACGCATTGTTACATAGTGAAATCTAATTACAACACCTCTGTATTTGCTTCATGGGTGACACCCATGTGCCACAGAAGATTTTAACGGACTGGTATAAATAATAAATAATATCAAAAAAAAGTCCCGAAATTTGAATATATATTTCTATTTTATTTTTTTCGTCTTTAGCACTAGAAAACTCAACGTTCAGCGAATTCTTGCAGCGACATTATATTTAAATCTTCAGTTTAATGCTATTGAAGCATTTTACATACCAGGACTACATTACACGACATACACGATTTAAATCTCCGCTTGAAAATGTGACACGATAAGATGTAGTGATAAATTCTAGAATATCACCACGCGGCGCATTGTAGTATACAAATATGTTAATATTCAGTTTTTTTTCTTTTTAGTAATTACTGAACAGCCAAAAAGAAAAATCAAGATTGAAACACAAAGGAAATATTCTTCGTTAGAATAGAAGGGTTGGAAATGGAATTCAGGATAAAAAGAAAACAATTAAAATATGATTTAAAAAACTTTACATCAAGTAAACTTTTTTGATGTTCATGTAATACTTGTCTTACATTCATATTTATTCTTGATTCCTGTATGTAATTTTTGAACAAATTCCATTCTTTATTATCAATATTTCTATTCATATCTAGAATTAGCTGCTGCCTATCTGTTATATACTTAAGATTAGCCATATTATCACAAATTTCTTTATCACTTTCCCCATTACTCCATGGCTGAGATAATGCAGAAACTATTTTTGGCACAGCATGATAAGAAAGACGAGCTTCTTTAGACATTACAGCAACGTCCCCGCTGTTGAGCATAATCGCAGAAGGTTCAAAATTTTTGTCAGGCCCTCCTATTAAAAAGATTGCCGACTGTCCAAAACTGAAAATACAAAGGAAACAAGTTGTTATCGTTAAAGTGTGTTTGCTGCACGTACACAACAAAGAAACGCTACAAACCAGAACACGAAGCTTGTTTCGTCATTCGTAATGCATTCAGCAAGGGAGTGGACCGTTTACATTGTAGGTAAATACGTGGTAGAGCCATGCTGCAGCTATATTAATAGTATAATTGTAGCACGAATGGGTCGGCTCGACCGGGGTTGGACCACGCTCTCACAGAATACCAGCGTTAAATAGCAATAGCAGCTTACCGCTGCTGTGTTTCGTATGTGAGTGTAGAGTACCGGAGACCCTTTTTACTGGGCAAGAGGCATTCCATCTTAGTCCTCACGGGTGACAACGCATCTGCATTTTGAGTCTATTGAGGATAGATGTAGATGTCTATGGGTCACAGTAACCACTTACCATCAGGTGGACTGTGTGCTCGTTTGTCACCCTATGCTATAAAAAAAGGTGTAATCAAAGCAAGAGTGAAAAGGCTTTTTGGCATCACATTTAATTTATAAGTAATTTTACACCATACCATACTCTAAAACAGTTCAATTTATTGTACCATCTAGGACTTAAATTAAAAAAAAATTTAAAAAACATGCAACTTCTCTATTCCCACATACTTTTAATAGCTTGTGAACTATGTGCTCTGACATTGTGTATCGAAGAATTAAAGCCCCGGTTGTAGCAGGCTCGTCAAAACAAATTAAATTGCTGTCCCATCGGACTATGAGAGAGTGCACCTGTACTCCCAGCAGGTGAAATTTTAATAAAGCACTTCGAGTACGAGGGTGACACTGAAAGTTCTTAGAAAATCAAAAACTGAAAAAACTAGCAAGTTATTAGTATATCTTTTCAAAATACTGTCCATTTACATCAATACATCGCTGCATCCGATGGAACCACTGAGAAAAGCACTTTGCCCACTCGTCCTTAGGGGTCTCTTCGACAGCATTTTGAAACGCAGCCACTGCTTTCCCGGCGTCCATAAAACGTTTTCCTCGAAGTTTTTCTTTTATTTTCGGAAATAAATAAAAATTGCGAAGTGCGAGATCGGGGCTACAGGGCGGGTGACCCAGTAATTCCACGTCTGACGACGCCAAGTAGTCGATTGTTTACTTGGCGGTGTGCGACGAGTCGTTGTCGTGGTGAAGGAAGATCCTATTGCGAGATCGTTTCTCCCGAACTTTTTCCAAGACAAGTGGCAAGCAATTGTTAGTGTACCACTCTCCAGTAACTGTTTTTCGGTCCTCTAAAACAATCGTTGTGTAATGACCTGTCCTTCCGAAGCACGAGGCCACCATCGTTTTTCCCACGCTTCGACCTCTCTTCACTTTAGTTGGCAACTCCTAGGTAGGACAGCAGACTGTCTCTTAGTTTCAGGATCATAACGATAAATCCAGCTTTCGTCACCCGTAAATAATATGTCGAACACAGCATTTGAGTCACATCCGTTAAATCTTTGTACCATGTCACGACACCAATCAACACGACGAAGTTTTTGGGTTCTGTCAAATTATGAGGTACCATCGGGCACAAAGCTTCCTGACCGCTAAATGTTCATGGAAGATTTTGTGCACTTGACTCATACCGATGCCTAAGCTTGTCCGAATCTGCTGATAAGTCACTCTTTTGTCAGTCTCTATCATATGCCGCACAACACTGATGTTACCTTCAGTCGTCGACGTAGAAGGCCGTCTCTCGCGCAGATCATCGATGATATTAGTGCGACCACGTTTAAAGTTATTAAACCAGTTTTAAACAGTGGCACGAGATGGGGCTTCATCGTGAAAGGCCAATCGAAGTCTATCATAACTTTCTTGTTGACTTAAATGACATCGAAAGTCAAGAAATGACAAATTAAACAATGAATTAAATTAAATGAGTAAACAAATGACAAATTAATAAAATACATACATACACAATAATATTGGCAAATAGTTCCATTTTCAAAATTTGAACTTCTTTTTTTATTATATCGTTTACAAGTGGCCAGTTGTAAAAACTGTCAGTGTCGCCCTCGTAATAAGTATAAAAAACAAATAAATGGGTGTCCCTCGTCAGCAGCTTTTCGCGTAGTGACGCGCAACCATGTCAGTAATTATGTAACAACATGCCGAGTCTTAAACATAATTTCGTATGATCGCAAACATTAGGCAATTCAACACGGTGACACGGTCTTACATTTGTTAAACTATAAAAGCTATGTATGCTAGTAACACTTTAACTATATCTTCTGATAAGTGGCAACTACAGCCTATGGATCTCTCAATTGCTCTTAATCAAATTCAAACTAACATAATAAAAAAAAAGACATAAAAAAATTCGTGACTGTGGAGTGGCGGTGTAATAAATATCTACTACCCCATAATATGCCGTAGGTGACATAAGAGGCGACAGAGAGAAACAAATCAGGAGATGGGCAAGTGTTTTCCTAATAATTACTAAAAATAAAAAAATGCAGTAGCTAACCCGCTTGCCAAGCGTGCCAACTATGGCAAATATCCCCCCTATGAGGCAATCTAAGAGGGAGGCCTATGTTCAGCAGTGGACATTAATAAGCTGTATTGTAACAAAAACAGTCAAATTTAGAAATGTCTCATTTCGAAGTCGGTTAAAAATAAAGAGTAGGTAGGCTACCATATAATTTAATGCAATTAGGACAATATCCTTTAAAGCTTTAAAGAATCATAGTAAAAGGATCATCGATCACTAATAAAAAACTAGATACACAATCACTGACAAAAAATGTCCTTACCGACTGAGCGCTTTTAATTTGTGAGTAGCTTTTTGAATACAACTTTAGGCAATGCACTAAGGCCGGCCACATACATACGGAATTTCGTTTCGTGATTCTGTTTCGGAATTCCGAACGGGTCGGCCACACACATACGGAATCCCATTTTGCCCGCAAAATTTCGAACGGAAAACTACCGCACGTGTGTGACGGGTCATAGATTTTATATGGATTTGTTGCGTTCGGGATTCCGAATCGGAATATCGAAACGGAATTCCGTATGTATGTGGCGGGCCTTAAGGTTGAATACATTAATGTACTTTATTTCAACTTGAATTACGTCAAAACAATTGGAGACAGTTTTTAAAGAACTTTTGCATGGGATTGTGTATCTAGTTTTTTATTAGTGATCAATGTATCCCTTACTACAACTAATGAAAAATGCACCTGCAACCCTGCTCCAGTGTGTTGGCGGACTTCACATATTATCCTCGAAATATTTTATTCCTCAGACAGACTTGTTTATTGTTTTCACATTATTTTATCATGTGGCAAATCAACACCTGTAAGTATTAACATTACTGTGCCTAATTTACCATGTAGTGGCGGTGTAAGAGTATCCAATACCTGTGGGTGTCGTAACAGGTGACAGAGGGAAACATATCAGGACATGGGCAGCAGCGTCTTCCTAATGATGACTAAAAATAAAAAGCTGTGGTTGCTGGCAAATATGCTATGGTAGACGCTAGCATACCACAATATTAGCAGCAAGCATTTAACCCCTGAGCTATCACAGCTCCAAACAAAGAATCGCAGTATAACGATATAAAAAAAAAAACATACTTACCTAAAAGAAAACAAAGGTGCCTCTAGATTAACTTCTGAATGATCCGTATGAGCAGAAAGTGTGGACCCTATATGATAATAATTTACAATTGCTGCCTCTGCTCTAAAGTTTTGATAACCAAGGTACTTGGATATACAATCACAAAGTTCTGCCAAATCTTCAGGAAATAATGATTTGTTGTCTTCAGTATACACCTATTATTAAAAAGATTTTATTAAAGTATTATGACAATATTTTTTTATATAGCAGTTGTATTTTTCACATGTTGCTGTGGCTCAATAAGTTTGTCAAAATCTAAATTTAAAAGTGATTGATATAGAACCTTCGGAGATTTAAGATTTTGAACAAACAAACATGACATTTTATTTATTTTTTATATTTAACATCAATCTCATATCTTTATTTGTATAGATAATAAATTAGGTGTAAGTTTTCCTAGCACACAAAAGTTATCGTAAAAATAATGTAATATAATATTTCTACGATAACTTTTGAGTGCTAGGAAAACTTACACCTAATTTACAAAATTAAAGTTATAGCCTATATACATCCCAATCCTGGGCACAGACCACCTCTATAATTATAATCTCATTTCTAAGAGGGTTTTGTGGAATTCAATGCGTTTTTGTTGGGCTTCATGTCTTCGAAAAAAAAATTATTTCTTAGACACGCAGGTTTCCTCACAATGTTTTCCTTCACCAGTGATGACTTCACTTATAAAATGGATATAGGAACATATAAAAAATATTCTTCAAATCCTAGTCTATTCTATACAATTTGGCAATAATAAACCTAATAAGTGAGTTATGGAAACAGCTATCGACCAAATCGGCGACACATTAAAAATGGGCCAGATTAGGAGTACCCTTAACCGACGAGCGTGTATGCGTAGATATATGGATATAAGAGGCGAGAGAGGTGTGTCAGGATCGCGCCAAATGGAAGTCCGTAGTCTCTGCCTACCCCTCTGGGTGACAGGCGTGAGTGTTTATGTATGTATGTATGGAAACAGCTAATCCTATAATGGAAGTGAAGAATATCCTGTTGAGAATTGTTATGTGGTGATGATAGTTGGATGATGATAGGTGAGAGTTCATTGAAGCCCTCCCCTACCCTTACCCCCTTGCGGAAATGTAGATTATGAGTAATAATTTTTTTTGTAAAATCATAACCTCACTTTTTTCCTCCCCCTTGCATAGCAAATCACAGGCACCCATGCTCACCTCCGCAGCTTTGGCTTAATATTCGGGCGGGACGGGGGCTGCTCTTTCTCCTCACCTACGGCTTTACAAAATCACTCTAGGGGTAGGGCAAACAAGACTATGTAGAATCGGGGTTTTCTGATTCAGTTGTAGTACAGAGTCAATCTATCTTATCTATAATCTGGTATGTGATAGTGGTAAATGAAACAATGTAATATGAACTGTTATAATTTTGTTTTATGAAAAACCTCTTGACTGTTCAGAGTCCCTGAATCTTCAGCCATAAATGGATTATCTGGTTCGAGTAATTAACTTTTTTATGGGTAACCCATTTCGTTATGTGCAATTTTTAGTTGGTGAAATTTATTTTTATTGTAATTAATCAGAAACACATTTCAGAAATCCAACAACAGTATAAGAGGTTCAAGCTTAACCCTGACAAACCTAAACTGAAAACATTATTAAAATCAAGTACCAGACGTCTACTTTATAATACTTTACCAAATTGGCATATTTATGTTTCATTATGCGCAATTTTTAGTGAAATTTATTTTTATCGTAATTCTAAATGCATTTCCGACATCCAAAAACAGTGTAAAAGGTTCAAACTTAAACGCGAAAAGCCTCCTAAACTAAACACGTAATTAAAATCAAGTACCAGATGTTTATAGCCAACCTCATCACATCAATAGCATTCTTTATCTGAAGTTGGTTGCAGGTGTCAAAGGGTAACTACAACCAACCAACCTGTAGTAGCCATTTACTATCAGATTGACTTGGTATGTTACTTTGTTGAAAAAATTTATTTATTTTAAAAGATTATAGAATAATGCACTGCTTCATAGCAAAAATATTTTAAAACTTATATTTAAATTTAAAAATGTGGGCAAAAAATATTAACATTTTACTTTTGTATCCCAATTATGATGATAACCAAGAGTTGTCCAACGAAGTTTATTCTGTAATTTTGAATTGCAATGTCCACTCTTAAAACATTCTTTCCACCAATCATTTAAAACCATTTCTGTGTCTATATTTGTTTTATTTGGTTTTTTTGAATATTGCTCTAAACATTTTCTTATCCAGTATCTCTGTCCCAGACTAGTAAAAGGATTCTTAATAAGGATCAACCCAGGATGTCTTAGCAACGTGTAGGCTTTCCACTCTTTTACATTAGTAAGACCTAAGAGTTCTGTTCTTAAATCTTCAATTAATGTTGGTGCACTATACAGTCCGATCTGATTCTGAAAGAGAATGTTTTTAGGTTATATTAATAACTTAAAAATACCTTTTTGTCATAAGTTCTAATTGTCTTAATTCAAGATGTTCTTTTAATATAATTATGGATTATTCATTACTTTACAAACAATTGTTCAGTAAAACTTTAACATGATAAATATCATGTCATGTACCTTTCCAAATATTTTATTTTCTAATGATAAAACATTGTCAAGAGATGGCTTTGGTTTATTACATTTATAATACTTGAAAACCTGCATAAAAGAGTTTTCATTTTCAGGTTTGATAAAAGTCCTTTCCATGTTTATCTTCTTCTTCTATGAAATTATGGCTTCTTCATATCTATCTTTAATATTTATGTCGTATTCGTAGTATCATAGTATGGATTGTTGGATGTGGATGGTAATCACAGAACACATGTACCGATGGTGATGGGATGGTGCGAGATTTATTTCATAGATAAATATATATGTAGATCTAGATTTATTTATCTATAATGCGAATGACATTGACATGACAGTGTTGTTGTTGTTTTATTATTCGCTCGAGAGAGCAGGCAAAGGAACCAAGCTATACAGCCTTGTCTTTTTTATTTTGAATTTATAGAATTTTAAAGTGTAAAGGTCGGATCCAAGTCTTATTTTTCTTCTTTCCATCTCTTCAAAATCCATAAAGGCCGAAGCCAAGTCTTATTTTCTTTAATTCTTCATATTTTCAAAAACCGTTAAGGCTAAAGCCAAGTATTATTTATATTATAATCTTTAAGTTTAAAATCCATGTAGATTTGTCAATTCAATATTATTAAAAACAGGGATAACACATTTCATATTTCTTTTACACTATTATGAATAAAATTGCAAAGTGCTAAATATGTCTTAGTATTCCTAAGAACATCTTGCAGGGCACGCGGGACGCTTTCAGAGTTTTCATAAACTTTTATAAGTTTTTCAATGAGTAGCAATCTTTCTAAGGCGTACGCTGGGCAGTTAAATATTATATGTTCTGCAGTCTGATCTGCTTCTGTATGGCAGAAGTTGCATGTTGCAGATGCTATTTATACATTACTACGTGCAGAGTATGCACGTGGAATGTTAGAGGAGGCATGAGAGATAAGATGAATGAGTTGATCGAAATAATGAAAGAAAGAGAATTAGATGTCGTGTGTATGTCGGAGACCAAACGGAAAGGCAGTGGTACTGAAGAGCTCCCTGGCGGGGCGTTAGCTCTATGGTCCGGAGTCCCGGAGAGCGAGAGCGCCTGCCAGGGATTGGGGGTGCTGCTGTCTTCTCGGTTGGTCGATGTTATGACTGAATATAAGGTTGTGAACTCAAGACATCTCTGGGTTCGCTTTAAATTGGGAATGACGAAGTTATTCCTTTTGGCTGTTTATGCGCCGGTAGCTTCGTCGTCCAGGGCTGGGCTGGAGGAGTTTTGGGAGAATGTAAGAGAAGTTCTAGATTTGGCTAGGGGAAACGAAAGAATTGTTGCATGTGGTGATCTGAATGGATGGGTTGGTACCGCTCGACCAGGGTACGAGTCGGTACTTGGAAAGTTTGGCGATAAAAGGGTTAATGATGCTGGCAAGCTTATACTGGCGGTGTGCAAGGAAAAGGGTCTTCTTGTGACAAACACTATGTTTAATCACAAGAAAATCCATATGTACACTAGAGAACGAAAGAATGAGAGAAGTATGATCGATTTGTTCCTGGTGGATGACCGACTGCGAAAACAGGTGATGGATACGCGAGTGTTCAGGGGTGCTGACCTGGGAACGGATCACTATCTAGTGATTACTAGATTTAGGGGTCTGTTCGCGGGTTGGCGCTACCGGACGGCAGTAACAGAACCACAGTCGGTCTGTTGCATCCGAAGCTGGAAGCTTCAGGAAGCGGATACTAGGGACAAATATCATGCGAGGGTAGCCGAAAAGCTTGACACCATCGATGGCAGAAAAGAATGTGTAGAAAGAACTTGGCAGAACCTTAGGGATGGAATGGTAAGTGCAGCGGAAGAAGTGTGTGGAACAATAAAAAGAGGCAGTAGTAAAAGAAGAGATGCATGGTGGAATGATGAACTGAAAGAGGCTGTAAAGAAGAAGAAGAAAGCATGGTTAGACTACTTGGCCTCTAGTAATGATAAGGATATGAGAGAGAAGATGAAAGAAAGATATAGGCTGCAGAAAGTTCACACGAAAGCACTGATTGAGGAAGTGCGTGAAAGTGTAGAATGGAAGCGGATGAAAGGTTGTCACACAACTTTAAGGAGAACTCCAAACTCTTCTGGAAAGAGGTTGGAATGACCCGAAGTGGTGCGACGGCCTTAAGAATGAACAAAGTGCTTTCGAGAACTAATGACGTCCTCTCAAAAAAATCGGACGTCATGCAGCGATGGAGCGAATTTTATAGAGAAATGTATGCGTGTGATGATCTTAGTGAGGGATCCGGGGATGACGCCGTGACTGGTACGCCAGACCCGGACCTCGATGACACTGAGGTCATCAGTATGAAAGAGATTGAACGTGCGATTCGAAGTTTGAAATGTGGTAAGGCTGCGGGACTATACAGAGTTACTGCTGAAATGGTCAAGTATGTCGCGTCTGGGACAGCTTTCATCTGCTGTGCAATTTGTGCTGGCGGACGGGGGATGTCCCGGATGATTGGCGATCCGCAGTCATTGTGCCTTTATATAAAGGTAAAGGTTCACATTTTGACTGCGGGTGCTATCGGACGATCAGCTTGACCAGTTTAGCAAGTAAAGTTTACTCGAAGGTTTTGACACGTAGGATGCAAGAGAAATCGGAAAGATTTCTATGGGAGGCACAATGCGGATTTAGACCTGGAAGAGGATGCACGGATCAAATGTTTTCTCTCCGCATGATCACGGAAAA